CCCCCATCAGCTTAGCCCTCTGTTCTCACAGTTTGTGCTGAGCGAGAGTTTTTCCATCACCCGCAGCCAAATGAGGCTGTTGATGTTTCAGGACTACAGGGGAGGGTACGAATTGCGGAGAGGGGGAAAAATAGCCCCCCAAAAATTTATTGCTGGCTGTTGTCCATGTGAGGGACGTTCTAATAACYGTGGTGGCAGGTAAGTCCCTGTGCTTAAACAGATACCCTGGTTACTGCTCAAACAACTACGCTATAAAGTTCTTGGTGTGAATATCTTCAAATTAATCCACAGGCCACCAGGATAAAAACAGGGGCTCTAACCTTTATATTGTGTGGGTGTCAGGCTGAAACAAGTTATGTTTCTTTGCTTAGTTGAAAAGGGGTGACATAGAGAGCAAGAGAGCAAGTTGTGCCAAGCAGCAGCAGGCCCTGTCCTCAGAGCAAGGGAATTGCTGTTGGGATGCACTGGAGGTGGCTGCTTCCCAATTCCTTGTGTTTTGCTAATGCTGACTGGAAATGAGTGTGTTGGAGGGAAAATAGAAAGGCGAGGGGCTTAAGAGGGCTGCAAGGCGAGGAAAGCAATTGCCTGGTGACAAATCTGGTATCAACCTCTATATCTTGCAAACTATAACTTGTTTAAGACCAGTTTTCTCTCTTTCCCAGCTTTTCTCTCCCTGCATGACTCTTTCTGCTGGCACTTGAGACATGTCTGCACTAACCTATGCAACCGCCTCTGTGAGCAATGGGTTGTTTTTGCCTTTTGGCACCAGTTAACGCCAGTGGCAGCTTCGTGCTGGATTCACGGAGGTTGTTTCAGGAAGGATTTACCATTGTTGTAAATAACACTACTCTTTCCATTAAATAGAAGTGTTTTGGACAAATCTTTCCAAGCTTGAATTCATCAGTCTGGGATTCATATTGTGGCTGTTTCCTTCCGTTCGCCTGCTCCACACAGAGAGGACCGTGGTTTTCTGGCCCTTTTCTGTGGAACCTGAGCGGAGCCCTTTGTTTTTAAAGCAACTTAATAGCAAAACTCTGCAGCTGGAAGGATGGTCCATGTTTCATCTCAGTAAGATGGCAGCTTTAAGCAATATGCAGTGCTTTCCTGATGCACTTACACAAGCTGAGATGTATAAAGGCTGTAATAACTTTAATCTAGTAATTTAGATGGTGAGATTTAGGCTGTAGCCTTGCCTGTATGGTGCCACTCAGTGGTTGGATTTTGGGGCTTTGTGCAAGATGCTGATGCATCGTCCTGTGGGTAGCCGAGATACTTTAATCTGCGAAAAGATCAGCTTGTCCTGAGTGGATTTAAATAACTCCTCTACTTCATTTGGGAGGGAACCAAAATTTTTCCATTGTTTAAAGGCTTTGGAATTCCTGTACAAATGTTCTGTGCCTGAAGTGTCACTTCTTTCACAACTAAAAGATAGGAACCGTGCAGTAATTACTGTACCTCATTGCTTGGTGATTGTCTCATTCGACTTTAACCATTTTCTGTAAGTGTGATCCTGAATATTTTCTCTTAAAAAGCCCTCTTTTCTAATTAGCCCATTGGATTTAACATGTGTCTCAATCCAAAATTACCYGAAGCGGCATCTTGGAAAACCAACTTCCAGGTCCATTCCTACTTGTAGAAGCTGCATTCAGGATCCTTTGACAGGACAACTGGCCTAACCTGTGTTGCTGAAGAGGCATTTAGGGTATGTGTATGTTTGCTGTGCAGTGAGCACCTTTAGGCAGTTCCAGTTCAGCATCTCTGGAGGTTGTATTTGCTTGTCTTGTGCACTGGGTCAATTCCCTGTCGAAGTACCATTAGATGACTGAGGAGGGGTCAGTGTAGGATGCTTTTTTGGCCAATTACTCAAGGTGTTTAGACCACAGGCCTTCGGTTAAGCTGTTGATACTTGCCTGCTGTAGTGCTGAACAGCAAACTGAACAAATATGAACAAGTGCCCTAGGAGGAGTCTGTCATCCCTTTGTTTTCTGAAGGCATCTGGGTCTTGAAAGAAGTCTGCCTTAATAACAAGCCCTGTTGCTGTCTTCAGCTTGCAAATCATGGAGTGGTGGGTGTAGGTAAGCAATAACTCCTCAGTAACCAGATTTCATATCCCCTGGGCAGTGAGGTGCGGCTCTAATATGTTAGTGAACTTGTTTTCTTCTGCCTGCTGGAGCTCTGGGTTTTTTTCTGGTGTTTTGGCTGTGTCCTGAGGATGCGGAGACGAGACTTGCTGGAGCGGCCGTGTTGAAATGGGTGGAGGTGGTGGGGCCAGGTGAGCACCCAGCTGCAGCCTCATGGGCCTGGCTGCTCTTCAGCTGCCGCTCGGGCTCTTGCTGCAGCATCCAAGGGTGTGACTTAAAGGCTCAGTTCCCCTCTGGTGCTGGAAAACTTGGGATTCTGCAAATCCATGCAGCTTACTGCTTAGCAGGTCTGTCATTTTGGAGAAACAGTTAAGGCTAAGTATTTAGAGAGGTATTTAGGTATAAATTATTTTTGGCTATCAAGTTATTTCTTGGGATATTAATCTGTTCCCTGACAACCGTATTTGTGCATTTGGTACCGACTCCAGAGAGCTGCAAGAGACTTTAAATGGGCTTGAGGAAACTTCAAAGATGCAGCGAATGGCCCTGCAGTCCTGCTAAGGTTGTGTTATTAACTTGCTCCATTTCTGAGGGCACATAGTACCGAAAGCTCTTGAATTTGACTGTGCCATTGAGTTTCTTAAGCATATACTTGGCAAAATTGGTTGTTTTGAGGGTTTTTCTCTTGCCTTTGTGCTCTTGGAGGGTGAGAGGAGGGATAGTGGAGTAATAAAACAATGCTGCATAAGGGTAAAGACCAGAGGGTGTTTAAGGATATAGACTGAAARGGAAGAGGGATTATCTGTAACAGAAAACTTTCAAATAACATCAACTATTGACTTTCATGCACCTGAGGATGAGCCCAACAGACTTCCCTCCTTTCATCCTTACAAATGTTTGTTGGCTGTCTTTGAACCACAGGTGAGAAATGCATCTCCCCTGTGCAGGAACCAGAGCAGCCTTTTGTCTGCGTGTTGAAGCTGCAGAGCGTGCGCTGTCTGCCCCTCTGCTCCCCTTGCATCTGTAGCTCCCCGGCCTGCTTGCAACCCTTACGTGCCCATCCAAGGTTGTCCTGCACAGAAATCTGTTAATTACTGCAGAAACTCCCCCGTTTCACTGATGAGGCTCATGAGGTGGAGGCAGCTAAGGTTCCCCATGTTAATTTAGTGCCTTGTAGGTCTGGAGGACACAACCTGCCTTGCCAGAATCCCCYTCCTGGGCTCACCTTTCTGGCATGCACTTAGTTTTTTTGCTCTGAAGCATCRTATTTCTGTACATCTCCTTCTGCTTCTGTTCTTTCGGAAGGCCTGGGAGCAGATGTGTTAATAGGCTGACCCGGGCGTGCTAGAGCGTCCGGCGCCGCGTGGAGCGGACTGGTTCGTAGCCAGCTGGCCAGCAAGAAGTTGCCTGTCCCTTCATGCACTTTAAAATAGCATTAGCCTTGTGGGTTTTTTGTGCTCCCAATGGAGAGACAGTGCTTTTTTTCATGGAGGGCTATAAACAGTGCCCCAGAGCAGCCAGTGCCTCCAAAAGAATGTGTGTGTTCTGCTCCTGCAGGGCTCTGCAGCTCTGGAACCGGGTAGGTTTTCGCAATGAGTTTGACCGAGCACCTTCCCSGACTGGCTGGGCGACCTTGTTGCTGCTGCTCCTCTCTCCACGTGCACCCAGGGCACCTCTCACCTGCTTGGAAACAGAGCGGAGCAGACAGGGGTTAGAGAGCTGTTACTAAGCAGCGAGGAGGCAGCATTGTGTCCGCGACAGGTTGGATGAATAGCTGCAGTGTTCGGAGCTGGAGGAATTTGTGACACACAGCCCAGTGAGTCACACAAAGCCTCTGGGAGGGAGCAGGGAGAGGACAGTGTTAGGATACAGCTGATCTTGTTTGGGAAGCCGAACTTGTGCAGAACTTGATCTTACTCGTGGCTCTCCTGGGGTCTTTCAGGAGTTTTCGAGTATTTGCTTTCAATCTAGCGAAGGCATTTTGAGGAATTCTTATGCTACCTCATTCATAAGAGCCCCTGCTTGGCAGATGCAGTTTCAGGCACCTGCTGCGCTCGCCCAACTGAAGCTCCCTTTAATTTATACCGGGGTTACAGAGAATGGACAAGTCCATGTTGCAGTGTTGAAAGACCTTCCCCACTTACTGGAGCTTGCCATTAATTTGCTAGATCCACCGGACTGCTCCTGGAGAGGAGATGGCAAGGGGAAGCAGATAGGGGAAGCCTTCAAAAGTGGGAAGAGGATGTCTATATCCCCTGCAAGTATCTGGATTCTGTTTATTAGCCACAGCCCTGAAGGGCATGAGCGGAGAAGGGAATCCTGCAGCCTGGGAGACCTCTGTGGCCTGGGGCGCTGAGTGGGCGCTGGGTGTCTCTGGGGTGACACCGCTCTGCGCTGGGAGCTGCGAGGTGCTGCTGAGGGGGTCACATCCTGCTGGCCCCGGGCAGCCGGAGGCATCCCCGGGCTCTAGGCCACTTTGCGTGGGCTGCTCCAGCTCGGCTTTCACTGGCCGTGCTCCAAACAGCGCCTCTGGGCCCGTGTCAAAGGCCAGTCATGGGCTGTGAGGTATCCATGGGTGCTCTGTTGTGAGGAAAAGCCTTCAAGTACAGCAGTTTTCMTGGAATTTAAAAGCAGATAACTGCTCAGGGCTCATAGAAAAAGAGAGGCAGAAACTGAGCCTTAGTTATTGAATTAAATTTAGACTCTATGTTTGGAAGGAAATAGAGTATCCTGTAAGGCTTTGAGTTTCCATTGCCCTGTTATTTAATAACTGGCATTTTAGTCTTCATTTTTATTCTTTTGTCTCAGAAGTAATGTGCATATTTCTAAACAAATGAACAGTATAGCTTCTTTTTTATTTGCTTATTTTAGTCAAAAGCATACCTTAATAAAAACCTACTTCTTCCCCTTTCCTTCCAGGAATTCTCAGAACTGGAGAAAAGAGATCCCCAGGAGCTAGTTGGTAAGTTCACTAAAATAGTTATTCCTTCACAAGAAATATTTATTACTTCACATGTATTGGAAGTAGACCCTGTAGGGTGAACCTCTTGTAACCAATATGTGATGGGCCCCACTGATATTTTTCCACGTGAAAAATATCTTCACAATATAGCCCAGCTCTATCCGGGCAGCCTCTGGGAGCCACTATAACCAGGAACGACCACGGATGCTTTTTGTTCCTCTGGTTTCACAAACTTGCTTAAAGTCTCCCTGCTTAAATGTGATCCAGGCAGTGCTTCCTAGCTAATGCATTGACACAGCACCACRTTTCTGCCTTGTAATGTTTCTTGAAAACCATTCAGTTTTTGTGACTTATACCTTGCACCATGATTAGATTTGGAACAAACTCTTGGAAAATCTATTGTTAGCACCTAGAAATAGTATTTTTTGCTTGCTTTGTGTGGGGCTGTACAAAAAGTGCTGTTGTATTTTAGGTTGGTATTCTGACCATCTCAAACTAGCCCTTTGTTCTGGAGGTTATTAGTACAGTTGTGAAGTAGCATGTGATGATACTGGAATAAATCATGAGAAGAAGTTGCTTTTTTTGTCAAGTCAGCTTAATTGTGATATTTTGTCCAAATGGGTCTGCAATAAACTTGAACTATTGGACAGTAAGTATGAAGATGCTGAGGAGTGACTTTTAAAGAAGCCATTCCTAAATCACTAAAGGATTTAGGTCCTTTTCCAATGACTTGCCCAGATTCTGTGTCAGATKGATTCTTAAACAAATGTATTTCCCCTTAAAGGGCAAAACTCCCTTAACCAGTCTTAGCTCTGAATGCTACAGAGTTCTTTCTCTAAACTGCTGAGTTACCCTAAAATGCACCCAAGAAACAAAAATGAGACAAAAGATTAAGACTAGGAATACTTAAACACCAATTGCCATTCTGTTTTCTGCATGCAAGTAAAGCTCTGCACTAGGGCCCCTTTTTCCCGTAGAGATTTCCCCATCTGTGGAAGATCAGGAGAGTAAACCCCCTATTTTCTTAGGAGATTCCTGGCTTGTATGAATTTTGTTTGTTTGTTTGAAAGCTAAAAAAGCTTTTTAAGAAAACCAGGGCACGCAGGGTACCTGGGACTGCAGTATTTGCCGTGCTGCATTCTATAGTTCACTTGAATCAAGCCGTATCTTATCTAGTTGGAAAAGAACTGTTGCAAGAGCATGTGGTTGGTGTAATATAAGAACCACTCCCTTCCTGGCAGCTGAGGCTTTTAAAGCCTTAGAGCTCTTGAATGGAAAAAAGATAGAGGTTTTTCCTGACCCAAAGTGAGTAATTGGTGCAATCTAGACGTCTAGAGTTCTGTCTGATATCAGTGTGTGGAAGTTTAAGTCTTCCTTAGTTCTTCACAACTGCTTTCCTCATTGAAAGAAATGCCCTTCTCGGATAACCTGACCGCTCTTCCTTGTCACCTTCACACAGTAAGTCCATGGCTCGACAGCCACTTAAGCACAGCACAAATACAGGCTCCTGCCAAGAGAGCCTGCCAGCCTGCCAGTATTTGTTCTGCCTCCCCTGCACACATGCTAATGTGTGTGCTGGGAGCTCGGCGGGGAGATGGAGCCAGCAGAGATCTACCTTCTCCCCACCCCACATCTCCTGTTCCTTCCTCCTCCTTCCTCCGAGGCTGCCAGCTGGATCCGTTCCCTCCATACTTGGTGCCTGCCCGGGGAGCACTAGGGCTGGCACATGGGAAACACAACAAACAAGCAGCTCGAGAGGCCCACTTGCCCTGACTTACACTGGATTAGTGATGGTGCCATGAAAAGACTGAGAAGGAGATTTCCAGCACTTACTGCTCTGGTTGAGAAGGGCGCTTAGGTGGACCTTCTTTAATGAATTTCTTCAGCCATGCATTGTCCTCATTTTTGCACTGCTCCAAAGAGCCCACACTACTAAGAACACGCCTCCCTTTGCTGCTTCATGTAGCCTTGCAAAATAATACCTCTAGGACGTGTTTGTTATCCCAGGGCTATTTTTTTTTCCAGCACAGCTTTGTTTACCTTTTGGCCTATAAGAAATGTCTTCCCCTGCCCCTAGGATATCTAAACACAAAGTCAGCGTTCATAACAGCAGAAAACACGGCTGAAATGCTGGTCTTTCTGGGCATTTCTCAGCCCACGGAGCGGTCGGGGAAACTGGTGTCCTTTCATGGATGGGTGACTCACTGGCATGTTGTTGCCTCGGATTCTTCCCTGCGCTTTGGCTGTGTTGGTGCCAGGAGATCAGAAACCCACACTCCCTGCCTTGGGCCAAGCAGACGCGACGAGAATGCCAAGGAATGCAGTTGGAGAGACCAGGCACTGCCAGTTTGCACCTTTCTAGGGGYACTCGGGAAGGGACAAGGTTGTTAGTGCTACCTGGGGAGCAGTGCTGCTCAACGGGAGCGTGGAGATAAGGTGCTTTGCCAGACCTTTGTATCATCCCTACCCCAGTCTGTCCAGGTACTGCCTGCTGCTCTTGTGTTCACTCCTGCACTCAAGTTGACTCAACTTTTGGTTCCTGCTGCCCCGAGGAAAGCTGCTTAACCATTTGCTGGAAATGGGGCTGCAGCAGGTGCTCTTGGGCCTGCRTCTCCAACCTTTGGACTGTGAGCACTGGAAGAAGCTGCCTGACCAGTTGCCCCTCTTTGCGGTTTGGCCCATCACACTCTGATCTCTTCTGTCCCACTTTTGCCCTGTCTTTATTCTGCCTGCTATACTGGCCAAGTAACCCACCCATCTGAAACTGAACCAGGCTGAATAGAGCACTGCCATTGAATTACCTGTCTCATCAAGTTCTTTGGTAAGCAAATATTCTCTGCTGACTATGAAATTCTGAATCTTCCTGCAATACATCCTGCTATCTGGTTGTGCATTGCTCTCCTTGGACTTCAGGACCAGCTGGAAATCTCTGCCTTCCCATTCCTACTACACCAAAAGCCACGAGTACCTATTCCATGGAGGGCTGATGTTTTTTAGCTTTTAGGTCAGCCTGTGAATGGACAGAGCAAGAGTAGCCACCTCCACCTCTCTCTTCAGCAGGAGGATGCCCTGAGTTGCTGACGTGACACTGCCTTATCCCACTGTCCGGAACCTCCAGCTGACTCRTAGCGTCTTGTCTGGGGCCTGTTTCTTAAAAATGTTCTTTTCCTACTCAGATTCCTCGTACAGGTAAACTATTTACTCATAGCTAGTCAGAAGTTGGGTGTGCCACAGTTGTTAATCATGCCAACAGCCAGCTTCCTATRGTCCCCAAGTGGAGATCCTTGGGCTGTGAGCCAGCAGATTGCAGGCCCGGTTTGAACCTACTGTCGCTGCCTGTGACTCATGCAGAAATAAAGCTTTGATCGTGGCAGAAATAACAGGATGCACAAAATGGTTGCATGTATCCTGTGAGGACACACCTTGGCATTAGCTCTTCACTTGCATTTACTGCTGTATAYGCAGGAAAAAGCTGCTGGGAGCAGAGTGCTCCTTTGCTTGGGGCTTTGAAAACACACGAGCTGTTATGTAGCACCTTGGGGCTGATACCTGCCCCACTTCCACATCCCCTGGAGCRGCGATCCAAGCCATCTCCAGGGAAATGGCCGCTGGAAGAAGGCTGTGGGATCAGCCACGTGGATGCCTGTTTGGAGAGCAAGCCTCAAGGGCATGAATGATGTGTGTTTTCTTGYGGTAAACAAACCCAAAGGGGTTAAACTCGTGCTTTTCTTCCCAATGAGGTGGCCTCAGTCTGACAGCCATGTGCCAAAATAACTGAGCAATGATGAATATTGGTGTGTGCAACAGCACACGTAGCCTTGCTGCCGACCAGCTCCTCGGCCCTGTGCAGTGGCAGGGGGATTGCGATGGACAACGATGCCTCACTTCCAATTTCTTGTAAGCTCTTAGAAGACGTAGTTCCCTTACCAGCAAAAATTATTTGTTTTCATATGGTTCAAGCAGCCTTATTGGACGTTTTTACTGTCTAGATGGGGTTCTCACCCTTGGTTCCTCAGTTGATACGAGCCCAGAGTTCCCCTCCCCTTAGATGTTTCTTCATGACTTTTCTGCTCACCCACAGGGAAGCTGGGGACCCTGTGAGGTGCCTAGTCTAGGCTTTTTCTTTCAACTTCTTTCAAGTCCAGACTCTAGTTAGTCACCTTTTAGCCTATTTTTGATGTTTTATTGCTGATATTGGGAATCTTGGCTCTTCTGGAAACCTATTTTGATCTGTTTGCAACTGCTTCCCCRATTTCCCCAAATTCTCATTAAATTAGAGACTTCCCGCCACGCTAGCAGCTGTAACCTCTAACAAATGCCTGCCTTGTTGCAAAGGAGCTCCAGCTTTCCAGCTTTTCTGTAGGAACYCTGACAAGCTTTGCTTTCTGTATAGAGAGACCCTCTTGGTAAATACCAAAGGGGRCTTTCTCTTCCTTTCTTGCAACTGCTGAAGAATTTAACCCTCAGCAACATCCCTGTCAAATGAAACCAGTGCTCGCCTGCCAAYTTGGTGTCCCAAAAGGATTTTGTCCTCCTTGCTTTACATTCTTACRAAAGAGCCAGGAACGGGGCGGTGCTGAACGCGTGTCGTGCTGGTTATCTGTAACCTCAGCTAGCTGGTGGCCCGTGCGGGCACGTGGGATGSTGTGTTCTGCTCAAATAACCAAGGGCTGCCCTCTGGGCCTTTCTGGCCTTCGCTGAAAGGAGCTGAGTTGAATCTGCTAGAACTCCAGTTCAGTCAGTTCAGCTTTTACACAAGGCTGTAATCAGGGAGCTATCGATGTGAGTGTCTTCATTTGCTCTCTCTGCTGGTGTCAGGTCTTTCCACTGCCCACACACGCACAGACTGCCTCCATCTGACGTGTGTTGCATTAACTATGGTTGAAAACAAACCTGGCTGCTCAAAAGCCTGAAGTTCTGCTCTAGGACTTGCCCAGGAAGCTGTGATGGCTTTTCCATCACTGGGGAAGTGTATCCCAGCACCAGCATTGGTTCTCAGAGCCTGCAAGCTGCTGAGGTCTGTCCTCAGCCCCAGAGCACGAGTTGTTGTGTTTAGGAATGGTCTAACTCTGTAAGCGATTAAAGGGGCCGTTAAGAAAATATTAACTTAAGGATGAAATGTTACTTGTTGTGGTTAACTCCTGACAGCTCTGCTGAGGGTTCTTTGCTTTTTGAACCATTTTGTCTCGTAGGTAAATGCTGAAGCAAGTGGGATCCGAACTGGTGAGCGCCCCAAGCATTGCAGTAGGCCAGGCTGGTTTAGGTTCATCCTCTGCYTCTTCAGATGCAGAGTCTGGCTCTCCCTGCTAGAGTATCTTGTCCAAGGTCTTGCCAGAGATTCCAGGTTATCCGAGCTTTTCAGAGCAGGATTTTAAAGTACATACRGATGGAACATACGATGTACATACGGTGTACATACGGAACATACGGTGTACATACGGTGGAAAGCTCAGTATGGGRTGCATAGTGCATATACTGTATAAGGATATACCACGAAGCTACATTTTTTCCTCTGCAGCTCTTGTGTCTTTAAGGATCTGCTTTTCACACTACCATTCTGGGTGAAAGTCTCAGTATTAAATAACATTGAGCTACAGTATAAGGTAGATGTCAGTGCTGAGGTGCCAACATCACACGCTGTTCTACCGCTGATCCAGYCCTTAGGTTAAACACTTCTTTAACAGCACTTTCAAAATACCATGACTAGCAGTTTACAACATTCCTCTCACGTTGGTTCCCTGTGATAGTGTAGTACTAGCAAAGACATGAAATAAACTTCATGACTTGCATGGGCTTTAATTGCTTTAGTTTTGCCTGAACTGATGCTCAATTTGTTCTCTGCAGCCTCTTTTTCAGAGAGAGTGAGGAACATGTCTCCTGATGAGATCAAAATCCCACCTGAGCCTCCTGGCAGATGCTCCAACCACTTGCAGGTCAGTATAAGTTCTTTTCCACTTCATTTTTCTTAAAAGGTTTGTATTTCATGGGTGAGGGGACCTCTGAAAACTCTTAGTATTTTTGCGCACGACAAAAATCAGCATAAAAACTGTTTTAAAAAAAATCGTTTTTTGAATGCACTGCTTTAATGCTTTAGACTTGGCAGCAATTCTGGTTTCAGAGCCTCAAATTAGCTTTATGCTGTTCCCCGCAGTCTGTGTGGGTCACTTGTGCATTAAAATGGCTCTTGATTCCAGCAGTGATACAGAAGCAATGTTTACTGTGAAGGCTGCTATCCTCTTACCTCAGCAAATTCAGCTCTGTAGGAGAGAACAAATCATTGTTTTTCTACATGGGCCTGAGAAGCCCCTAGCTGGAAAAGTTGAGGCAGCATTAACAAGATTCCTTTTCCACCTACATATCTCTAGATGATAAACATTTGGAGGGAAGGCTAGTGACCTAGAGGCAGGAAAGAAAACAAATGCTTATTTTTTTTCTGGTACATGCCCAAATAATTGCAATAATTATCAGTTTAAGACTATTGCAGTTCACTTCCCCGAGCATCTCATCTTTGCCTTGTGATGTAAGGTTTTTTTTAATAAGTTTARCTTCCAAAATCTCTTGCTATGCACTTGACTTGCCAGTCCTACAGATCTTAGATTTACGATGTTATTAAATGAGCCTCTGGTCATTTTAACATCCAATTATAGTATTCCCTGTATTCAGCCTGCATTGTGCTTATATTAAAGGAGTTAGTCCACACATTTGCTGATTGTGTCCTGACTTAGATCTATCCAAAATGAAAACTATAAGGGAGTTATGTGTGTGTTTAATGGTATCTTCCTTCTTACTCAGGTAAGAGGCATCTGCTTTAGAGCAAGAGCAACAGACCTGAGCTGTCTTCCACTGACAGAGTTTGGCTTGTGGTGCTTCTAGGAGGTGTTCTGTACACCTCTGTGTGTAATAAAACTGCTTTCCAGGATAGATGGCAAGAGCAGTGGCTGCAATTTCCATCCAAATGGATGTTACCATCCCTTTGAGTTTTATCCACATTTATCTACCCAATAGAAATACGAGTTAAAAAGCACTTCTGGAAACCTCTCCAAAGCAAATTGCTAARGTGATTCAGAGTGACTGACTCACCATCTGAATCAGACCTTTCTGCTGTGTGGCATATCTAGACGCACCCAGTAATTCTCTTGTGCTGCAGCAGAGGTTTATTGTTCTGACATCAATGAATTACTGAGTGTGCTAGATCTGAGGAATGCACTCAATAAAGCYGGGAGCTTCCCTTTTGACTCCAGYTTACTGGGTTAAATCAAAGTAGAAYTTACCCCCTGTTAGCAAGTCAAACCACATCTTAGAAGACCCGGAGCAAAAAGATAGGATTGTTCTTTGGAAACTGACTCTTCTGAGTCTTTCAGAGTTGATTTGCTGCTTCTGTCAGCTTCTTCCTCTAATAAACTGCTGTGAACTCTACCAAAGAAAGGCTTATTGTAAAGGTGACCTAGTAGCTCTTCATCCATGGACGTTACAGATGTGAATCATACTGGTATKCTAAGGAGAGGGCAGAAAAGAATGCATGAATTCCCTTGTTTTGACCCCAAAACCTAGCTGGCCCTGGGGGAGAGCTGCAATCCTTGCTCCATGTAAGGATGTCACTGGGCCAGCTGGCCTGTTTTCACATGTGTGCTTTGCTAGCATTGCTCCTCATTCTTCTGTTGGCTCACCTGCAATCTTGCTCCCTTAGGATAAAATCCAGAAGCTGTATGAGAGGAAAATAAAGGAGGGCATGGATATGAATTATATCATTCAAAGGAAAAAGGAGTTCCGCAACCCCAGGTGAGCCATGGCCAAAGTACCACACAACAAGCTACAAGGATTCTTCTCTTTGCTGTTGGTRTTGTAGTAGAAATGGGTTCCTGAGCTAGTAGTGGAATTGCTTACAGAATTGTGAAAGGCATAATTCAATAGTGACTGGAACAGCAAAGCTCTTTGGCATTCTCTGTGGCAGCATCTAGACTTGTTATGCCAGTTGGATTTTAAGCCCATTTCACGTGCGGGGTTTTTGTATAGTTTATTTCAGATAATGTGTGTTTGCTCTGGCAAATGAGAGATTAACGTGGAGGAAGTGGAATTACTGCACTTGGGAGCATGCTACCTAAAGCAGAGAGCAAAACAGCCTGGGTTCTGATTATAATGTTATATTTTGAAGAGATAAGTGTCTTGCTAATAAATGTGAAACACGTAAATTTAAATGAGTGAGCTGGAACTAAACCCTCATATTTCTTTTGCAGCATCTATGAAAAACTGATCCAGTTTTGTTCAATCGATGAACTTGGTACAAATTATCCAAAGGTGAGGTGCCATACTTGTGACAGGCCAGCGAGAGGGTAAAAGGTGTTGCAGGGATATGTGGAGTCTTAGTTTTACTCTCTTGAGTCTGCTTCTTTAGAGATCCTTCAAGGGAATGTTAGTCTGACTCTGCACAGAATGAACACTTTAAGATGTGGTGCTGAGCCTCAGTGTCCCCATCTTTGCTGTAMGGCCTCTGAGCTAACACCCTGCTGAAAAATGGGGATATATTTGACACTGAGATGGTGATAGAACACACACACAAAACAGAGAAATATGTATCTTAACTGAGAGCCCTTTTGGTTTCAGAAATGCTTTTTCCATTCACAACAGAACATGACATTGCGAAAGATTTGAAATGGAATGCTCTCCCTGAACAGAAACACACAACATTTTAGAACTAGGTTCTGTGTCTATGTCAAAATAGCCTTTTTTCTCCTTTTTTTCTCCTTTTAGGACATGTTCGATCCTCATGGCTGGTCAGAGGATTCCTATTATGAGGCACTAGGTAATTCAGCATTTTTTTTTGTCTTAGCTCTTTTTTTTTTTTTTCGGTTACTGAAAAGCACTGGAATCTTTGCTGGCTTTATAAAAGATAAGCTGTCAGGCACTGCTTTTGCACTACTGCATTCTGGTCGGATGTGCCTGAATTTTATTGATGCTTCATTAATCTGGAAAGCCCTTTCATTTAAACCACTGTTTTAATTTCTTCATATCTGTAATCATTAGCGCAGTAATGCTTTGCTTAAAAAGAAGGTAACTTCTTAGTAGTTCACTTGCCTATACACAGCTTGAAGTTATTTTTGGTGTTTCATGATAGAAGTGAGGCAGAGGTTTTACTGATTGCAGTGCCTGTTTTCTCCTGTTTCTCAGCTAAAGCACAGAAGATTGAAATGGACAAATTGGAGAAGGCCAAGAAGGAGCGCACAAAGGTAGCTGTTCAAAATGAAAAGCTAGGGGAGTGAGGCACATTTCTGGTTTCCCTGCTGAATTCCATTTTGTTGCTTTGCTCTTCCTTATGGACTGTCCTCTGTGCTGAAGTTTTCCTCCTGTGGCAAACCAGACAGGTCAACTTGTTTGCCTTCCCTTATACATCCATTTCTCTAGGCAGTTTATTCCACTGATTTCCCTCTGTTTGTTCAACCTAAAACAGTGCTCAGTAAGCCAGACAAAGGCAAGATATTGCATAAAGAACAGCTTTTTAAATCTTTGACATTTTTGCCTGGTTGCATAGCCTAATACAGCTTAATTTCTTCACCAAATCTCACTTGGAGCCAGGATCTGATTTCTATTCTTTAACTTGGCAGTGTCTTGCCTTATTTTGAAATGTGTATGCTTCTGTGGCCCCTGCTAAGAATACAGGTGTGCTCTGRAGCACTTGATTCCTCTGTTTCAGTGATGTTGCCTTTAAATTAGCGACTGGTATCAATAAACTGTTGAATGTAGAGATGGCCCTCTAACCTAGTAGAAGGCTTCTTAAATAGTAATATTTGGAGCTATTTTTTACTTCTAAGTGCCTGCTACATCTTGCTACTTGTTCTGTGTTTTGTTTTTTTGCTTGTTATCTTTGTAACCCAGGTATCTGATTACATCCCTCTTGCCCATATCTGCAGTTTTGAAGATATGAGATTGCATGTGGTTGTGATTCTTCTTGCTAGGTTTGCAGTTATGATGCAGTCACACAAGTAGTAACTTGCATCTTCAAAGTTTCTCTTTTTCTTTGGAAAAGCGTGCAACCATCTAGATACCATATAGATATAGACCTTTCCTTATTCTCCAAAAACTGCATCAAGTCCTTATGCTTAAACTAACTAAACACATTTTCAAGTCCTTAGACTTAGACTAATTAAACACATTATTATGGTATCTAACTCAGGCACAAGGACCCTTAGTGATTAGGACTTTGGCCTGAGAACATCTTTCTTCATACATGACATTCAGCTCAGAGGCCAACGTGTCATGTAACAGCAAAGCTATTCTTTAAATCTGTCATTTAAAGATGTACATTAGGGTGAAAAGATGTAGATTAGAAGCCCCTATGTATATTGACCTTTTTTTTCTCTTTTTCCTGTTTCCTGGTGCCTCTCCCAGATTGAGTTTGTGACTGGCACTAAGAAAGGGACGACGACGAGCGCTGCCTCGACAACCACCACAACAGCCAGTACCACTGTGGGAGGTAAAGACTTGTTTCTGGCTGTACCTATTAATCTGGAGAAATGCTGGGGATTACTGCTTCCTGGAAACTCTAAAAGCTCCTTTCTGATTGCATATGTGATACAAGAGAAGTGGTTCTTCCAGGATTGATAATTAGCTTTCCTCCGGTCCCCATGTCCCACAGGGGTGCTGGAATGAAGGCCTAGGGAGAGCTTGGGCAGTGAAAATGCCTGTTACTGGGTCAAGAAATCTGCAGCTGCCCGTGTTGTGGTGTTTGCTTGGAACTGCTGCATCTCTTGGACAACTGTWAACAGGCTGTTAATCATTCTCCTGCCTACAGTCCCTCTGCTAAACTGGCAGGAGAGGAGAAAACTCTGGTAGTGCCCTGTGCAYGTAGCTGAGGAACCAAAATACGTGTGCTCCATTAAAACTAAAGCTGCTTTGGGGCAGGGAGTGAACCTGTCTCCTTCGGCTGGAGCTCAGGTGTGGAGTTTGACTGCTGAAGTATAAAAAGCCTCTAGCTATCTTTTCTCCTCAGCATTTACTGGGGGCTTATGCTGAAATTAAGGCAAGGGAGAGTTGTTTAGTCCGTCAGTGGTAAAGATTAAATGAAAATTAAAAGTTGACAGAAGAGGTGTTGTTAAGAGCTGTGATGCTTAGCACGGTAATYAGCTAATCCTTGTTTGCTTTGTCTAATCTAATGCGCAGATGCACAGAAGAGGAAGAGCAAGTGGGACTCGGCCATCCCTGTAACGACCATAGCTCAGCCCACCATCCTCACCACGACTGCCACACTGCCGGGTGTTGTCACGGTGACAACAAGCGCAAGTGGATCCAAGACTACAGTCATCTCTGCTGTTGGCACCATTGTGAAAAAGGCAAAGCAGTGACTAGACATGGGCTCGGGGTTTCAGACTGAGGTGTCATTGAAGCCGTTGCCCTCAAAAGGGAGGGCAAGATTTCCCCTTTGGTAAGAGATGACAAGACTTTGAAGCAGATTGCCACAATTGCCATTTGGAAGGAGGGGGCAGGCCCGGGCATGCCAGCTGGGTGCCCGCAGGAACGGACATCTGCCAAAATTGCCACCACCTTTTCCTGCTGTGGGGAAAACCACAGCCTGTGCTGTGCCCAAGGATGGTGGCAGGGAAAGTCAACTTGGAGAAGTTACCATATTAAATGGCTGCGTTCTTCAGGCTCGAAGGTTCTTACCCTATTTGCAAGTTTGTTTTCTTTTTATTTTACTTTATTTTTTTCAAAGCAAGCAGTGAAGGAATGTCAGTATTCGTGTGTGTTCCAGGTCTTCCCCGTGGGCTGCTGCTCGGGATACGTGCTCCTTCGCATGCACTAAGGCAGAAGGGAACTAGAGCAGAGGCAGTCGGTCCGTGTCTTTGTTTAAATGTGTAGCAGAGATTTGAGAACCAACCTACATCTCTGAACGTGGACTCGGTCTTTGTTGTAGTACTGACATCTGTGCCTGTGTGCGTATCTGTGTAATCTCAGTGACCACCCATTAAATAGCTGCAATCCTAAGGAAACTGCAGGGATTCTGTGGAGATTTCCATGCAGAGGCACCAAGCTGTAGAGGTCGAAGTTGTGAGCTCCTTTGCCAAGCTGTGTGCAGAGAGCTGCTCTTGGCCTGGAGGGCGGCAGGCGGTGGGAGAGCAGCACCCCAGAGCGGCGCCCGTCTCGGCAGCGGATGGGGAAGCACCACGAAGCGCCCGCACGGCGYTTCCTGCTTGCTCCACTGTTGTGAAATAACATTTTCTTCGGTAATTTTTATTGTATACGTCTTCTTACCCGTGTTGCAAAAAATTATTATAAAAATGGAAAAGTCTTAAAAAAAAAGTCTCTGTCTCTTTGCTTTTCTTATGTTGGTTAAGGCAAATCAGTATCAGATGCTTTTGGGGCTATAGATACCCATTATATATATAGATATACATTCTCATCTCTTTGATGAGAATGGCTTAATGCTATTTATTTCAAACCTGTTCCAGCCTCTACTTTCTTCAGCAGTTGGCTTCAGAACTAGCACCAAGATACTTCATACAATTGTGTTCAATCTACAGAGGACTCCCTTRAAAAGTACGATGGTAAAGTGGTTTGCTCTGCTTTGAGGTGGTATATAACTTCAAATAACATGAATAGTTAGAGGAATATTGGCTAGAGGAATAGCTGTTAACCTGTTTTTCTTTCCCTTCCCCAGTSCTCACTTCAGAGGCTTCAACTACCATCCTTAAATCTTCATCAGACTGTGATTTTTTTTCAAATTCAGTAGTTTTGCTGTCTCCAGTTGTTTTGAGTTAATTTTGTTGCTTTGTTGCTGTTAATTTTGTTAAATTCCTCTGCTGCCTGACTCTTGCAATCTGTAAGCGGGGATCGAGAAGGTTGTTAAGTCAGCAAAAAGGTAAGTCCCTCCAAATTCAGTGTTGTGTTTTCACAACACTGATCTAAAGCTTGTAAATACGGAGATGAAGAAATGAAGAGCTGCTTTCCCACTTCCAAAGAATCCTAAAACACGGCAGACACTTTGTCCTGTCTCTTATGGAGTGAGAGAGACCAAGGAGCTGATGAGACTCTGGGGAAATTGGGAAGCTGGCGGAATTCTTTTTAAAATAACRAAAAATAAGGGCATGGATATTGCACATTACATGTGTCTTTTCCATAAGAGAATGACAACATCCATCTAAGGGAGTTTCTTTCCCTTGCCGTGAGGATCAGGGTTTGTAGAGTTATCGTGGGCTCCTTGTAAAAGCCAGGAATTCACTGATGGTGAGAAATGCCACTGGGTAGTTCTACAGCCTTGTAAAGTTATTTTCTCTTCTTTCTAGAACATCTTGTGCTGGTTTAAAACTTGTGTGGGGTAAATATCTATTGTRAAGTTGTGCTGAACAACATCTGGAAGCTGCAGCGAGGCAGGGAGCAGCTGCTGCAGGTTCTGCCTTGCAGCCTGTGGAGTCGTGACAGACTTTGGGTGCTTGTGGTTCTTCTGCAGCAGAGGCAGCTGTAGCACTGCAACGATCCCTGCAATAGTTGAATCATGTGAATATGAGTGGAAAGAGTGTCTTGGCTTCCAGAAAAACAAAACACCCCTCTGATTAATGTCTTTAGCCTGTATGTTGTGATTGAGTCTGGAGACTGAGATTAAATATCTCCCTGGAGTGTGTGCTGGCACACTGAAGAATGCAGGTGTGCACCAGAGGTACCAGCCAGTCTGGTGCATTCCCCTCCTTATCCAAATGTGGGAAACACTAAAGGTGGGAACGGTGTGAACTTGACCAAGGCTGCAGATTAAGCCTCAACRTCAATGTAATACATAATGGAAAAGACTTTGGCAAGAGTTGTCCATCTTTTTGCCATGYTGCCTTGTAGGATGAGAAGTGCTCACCTGGCAGCTGGAAAGCCTTGCAGGGGGCTCTTTTCCAGGCTGTTCGTGCTGTCCTGATGTTAAGCTCCTTCCTGACTTTTGTGTTTCTCAGTTCCATTGGTAGTTTGGAGAGGCCTTTTTGTAAGCAAATGAATAACTGAATCTGACAAAGTCCTGATTCTAAGCTGAAATAAATGCGCCTAGTTAATTAACCAGTTTACAAGGAAATGTTATTTATACGGCTAGTGGAGCATGTTATCACTTGTATCGTTATAAGCCTTACTCTGTCAGGGAGAGACAGGTAGCAAAGGGAAGTGCAGGTGACCTTATGCTCTTGGCTGAGCAAGAACCAAGGGGAAAAGTTTGCAGAATGAAAAGAAGAATTTGATGGGAAAAGTCCCATTGGCTGCCGTGGCTCTGAAGCTGGACTCCAGCCTCATTCTTGGCACTTGGCAAGTGCCGAGGTGCTCTGGGGGATGAATCATTTAAATACAGAAGCTCCTGAACATTGTTTAAGTGGCAGTATCTTACTCGTATCACACATCCTGGCACCCCACCCTTCCTCTTTCCATGCTCCCTCTTCCTTCTTGTTCTGCAGAATCCGTAATCGTTCCAGACCCTGGGATTTCTTTGCTTGTTCTGCTCTTGTTTTACTGAGCCAGGCAGGGAATGGCCATGTGCAGCAGTCCTGGAATAACAGAGTTGCTGGTCAGCAGAGTTCGGTGATGTTTTATAGAGGGGTAAGGAAGAGGGCCTGAAGTCTGAAGGCAGAACATAAAACTGGCCCTTCTGAGTCCTCTGAACAGGCTACATGGGGCAGCAGGCACCTGCAGGGGCAGTTCTACAACTCCTGAAGCAAAGGGCTCATCGTTGCCCACAAAAACCTGCTTGATAACTCCTGATCTCCCCTGAGATTTAGTGATTTAGTGTTTGTGATTTAGTGTTTGTCATCTGCAGTGGGGAACACGAACTTAGAACATGCCCCTCTTCTTTCCTCGAGATCTGCAATGCCAGCCCTTGTGCAGCAGACTGCACAATATTGTACAATAGTTTGCAGCTGTCTGTCTTAAGTGTGACTCTTGGGAGCAACGTATGGATATTCAGTTTGGAAACTACTGTCCTAGGTGGGGAAAAAAGGTGTCTCTGCTCCTTCTGAGAAGAAGTTCATGCAGGTTGGTAGCTTGCACTTGGCTATGGTCAGCTGCTAACATCAGAGAAACATGAAGGGAGCTTAGGGCATGCAAGAGCGATGTACTGAGGGAAAGGGATTCCCTTCTGGTCTGTGGCCATCCCTTCTTGAAGCCATAAACTGGAGGTTTGACCCATTTGCAGCTTCCAGATCTGTGTGTTCATGGCTGTGCCAAGGCTGCGACTGCTGCTGAGCTCAGAAGCGCTGCGGGGAGAAAGGCCCTTCCATGAGGACAACCTATGTGGGTAAGTGCTTTAGCAGCCACTGGTGACCATGAGCTCTTTCTGAGCTGCTCTAGTGCAAACTCCTGCCCTTTGGTCCGCGCTGCTTCATGCTCCTGCGCTGGCATTTGCTGCACATACTCATCCTCACACATTGTACATGAGGGAATACAGCCGGTCCTGTTTGTTCATTATTCCTTGCAACAAGCTTTTAAAAACACTAGTCTACCCCCTGCTCGGGTGTTTCATCGCTCCAATGAGTTTGTCTTAGCCGCAACTCCTCATTCAGATGTATCGCCCCATGCTGGGCTGCTCGGTGCTGATGGGAGGAGAACAGACGTAATTAAGTCATACTTGGCAGACTTTGTTCTGCTTTAACCTCTCTTCAGAAGCCTTTTTCCCCACTCCTCCTTGCCCCGAGGTGCTGATTTACTTTCCCAGTTGTTTGTTGCCATTTAGAGATGTGTCTTTTGATGCTCTTGCGAGGAGGGATCCTGGGGCCTCTGCCAGCCCCACCTTGAGCTCTGAAATGGGCGCACCGAAAGCAGCATCTTCATCGTGTTGCAGCTCTGTGTCTGCTTTACGTGCAGAGCTACAGGAGCTACGTAGGAGACCACAAAAAAATCAAAATGCCCAACCAAGAAACTCGGGCCCTGCCAAGGCTTTGGGCCCTGCCAAGGCTCCACCGATGATAAAATCAGCTCCTCGCAGGGTGGAGATGATCACAGCAGGAGACATCCAGCCAGCCAACACCTGCCCCAACTCTTCTTCAGCACTGAGGGGGGAAAAAAAGTTGTAGCTTCTGGCCAGGCCTTGTGTTGGCAACAGGTCTTTGCAACATGCCCGTGTCCAGAATAACATTTCGTGCTGTTTTCTAACCTGAAAATAACTAAGATACCACTGAGAAAAGGCCTGTGTCTCCCGGGGTGAGAATGGCAGCGGCGCCCGGTGCGACCCTTCGCGGGCAGCCACGTCTCRGCCTGCGGGCCCTGGCGGCCGCTCCTGCCCTCCACAGGCCGTTTCCTTCCTCCCGGCCCGTCCACCCCACGCTCTGTTTCTCGATGTCCCTCTTTGAGTCGCCAGTGTCCAGCAACACGCTAGGATTGCACATGGGAAGGCTTTGCCTTCCCCATAGGAGTCGTCTGTCTGTCTGTCCTCCTGCCCCTTCCTACGATCTGGCACTAAGAAATAGGCAAGTCGTGGGCCTGTCTTGGAGTGAAACAGCAGGAGGGGTCAAGTTATGGCTGTTCTAACGGGCTTGGCCAAGGCCATGTGCACTGATGAAGAAARCACCTTAAAAATTATTCTCCTAATGGCTGGTGGGGTCGCAAACTTCAGGAAGGGGAAGGGTTTCAGCAGCCTGACCGTGGCCGTAGCCTCTGAGCTCTGAAAAGTCCCGAGCTCTGTTTTTGGGCACGCCGCCGTCGCAGGACAGAGAAGAGTCTGAACCATTTGGCTTGGCCTTAAAAAGAGGGAAAGAGCAACCCCTAAAGCACTTGGAAYGAGCTCGGTTGGCAGCTCCCTGGCACATTGGCCCTGAAAGCAGTAATTAAGTGAGCAATAAAACCGACTTTTTTGTACTCCTTGGGCAAAAGTTTCTTGACCACTTTATCACAGCCCCAATTCAGTGATTTTTGAGTGCAAAACCCATCATGGGYGTGCCTGGGAACTCTGCAGCAAAGTTTGCTCATTCTTACTTCCTGTTTGAAGCCCCTGTTTTCAGTTATGCAGAACTGCAGATTTGTGCAGCAAAAGCCGAATGCTTTTCAATTTTTTATTTTTTTTTCCTGTCATCAAACAAGGTATCAAGCTGAGACAACAGGTAGAA